CTGTAGTGGAAAAAAATGAAAAAGTACGTCCTTCTTCTTGATGCTGACGAACTGGAATTTTCTTTTCAAAAACAGAACAATTGACTAAATCTGTCAATATAACAGAAAATAAAGAAAAAAATAAAGAAATTTTTTTTTGTGTTTGCAATACAGATGAGATGCACGCAGAGATTAACTCAAAATTTATTTAAGCTTAACTTATATTTTGAACAAATCACTGGAAAAATATAAGTCAGTATAAATTTCAAAGGTAATAGCTTAGTAAAAAGATTAGTGAGAATACGATCTATTTTCATTTTACACTTTATCAGTTCTAAAGAGGATATATGTATGACTCATTGCGTAATTTTTTGGGCACGAAACCTTACATTCTGCCACTTGTCCTTTCCTCACTACGTCTTCAGTTCGGAGAGAAAATAGTTTCTAAATTTCGCTTTTTCTTGCTGTTTTCACATCAACTCACTTTTTCTTCCATCACTTTCAATTGTATTTTTGAAGCCACTCTTATTTAGTTTTTCCTACAATGTGAGACAAAAGACGTTTAAAAAAGATGTTCAAAATGTTCACATTCCTAAATATTTTACCAATCAATTTAGAATTTTAGCGATGCTCATGTTATATTTTCACTTTCGACAAAAAAAACGAAAGCGCCCAAAAATGCTCTGTCGATTCACATTGTAACGGAAATTGACCGTTCCTGAGTTTATTTTTAACACCAACTGATTATAATAGGACTGTACAAATGTGAAAATAGGTAGAAGTAGTGAATCATGTCCAAAGTTCATAAAGAGTTCGCTAAAAATGTACAGTGGAAAGTAGAGTAGCAGTGGAGCGTAACAGAAGGTCATGAATTATGGAAAAGATAGAGAGAGAGATGATTCATAAGAGCCGATAGAAATACGCGATGAGATGAACCGAGAAAGAAGAAAAGAAAAGGATGAGAAGACAATGGAAGAATACGGCCTGTTCACGTAACGCGTGATTTCGTCACGATTTTTGTTGTTTTGCGAGTCTCTTGGCGTTCGAACAAAGGAAACTAAGGAATTGTTTACATCTAGTCTTGCAGAGAAAAATGAGCTGAACAAAATATGATATTTTCCGTTTTCGCAGAATATCGTGGTCGTCAAGCACAACAAAATTTTTACGGGCTATAATCAAAAGTCCGCCAAACGGGGCTCGTAAAACTTTATTACATTTGAGAACCACGACACTCTGCAGACACAGAAAATATCACATTTTGTTCAGCTCACTTTCCTTTACAAGACTATATGTAAACGGTCCTTGAGTTCCTTTTGTTCGAGCGCCACGAGACTCGTAAAACAACAAAAATCGTGACGGAATCACGAAAAGGTGACCGTTACGTGAACCGGCCGAATAGTATTATTCTTTACACACACAACAGTGGTGTCAATGATATATGAATTTTTTTCTGTTGTCTTTCTACTATCGAAAATGATTTCGGCTTTACCAGCAATGTGGTACATTCTCTTTGCATTCAATTTAATTCAATTTACGTTTACCACGAATCTGGTCGTCCAATAAAACGCGGAAGTAGCACTCGACGGGCATACATCAGACATATACTTCAAGTGGTTAAACACTCCAAATATCAATACAACCCGATGCGGCACTGCTGATCCAGATAACGATAATTGTAAGTTATAGTTTGTTTTTTCGTTCTCTTCTTGTAATAATGTCCAGCTCAGCCATCACCTTGCAGATCCCGAAATTCTTCCTCAAACTGAAAAAATGAGATTAAAACAGTTTTGCACCTATCAATAGTTATCTTGCTATGCAATTATTACCGAATATAGCAGTTGACAATAATAACGCTTATCTTCGACTAGGTTTACTTTAGCTGTTTCTAAAGCTCACGGTACTTTCTGCGCGAGATTGAGTTTATAAAGAGTATGTGAAAGTAAAACAGAGCAGATAGTATATTAGAGGCTCATCCTCTTAAAATAAATATATCTTTAAACTATCAATGCCTTTAGATAAAGATAAATTTAAGCTTACAGAAAAATTAGACTTAAGGACCCAACTTGACAAAAGGCGAAACTTTTTAAAATCAAGTCACTCTAGTTAGAACCCGGGTTATAACTACATCATTTTGACGCATATATTCGTGTATCAAAATGTACCAGCCGATGTACTGTTAGACTCCGCATATCTTTCTTTCAGCAACTATATTTGTCTTTCTTATCCCACTATCATCATAGAAGGGTGTACCCAGTTCTTGGATCGAAGTCTGAAGATAAGAGTACCGGAAGACATTGTAGCCCATACTTGATACCGTATATTCATATTAATTCGAATTTCTTTCGTGCGACTTCAATAACGCGAGATGATTATTTTCTAAGTATTTTGTCTTCTTTCCCGGTTAAATGAGAGCAACTTGCCCTTTTCTGTATAACTAAAGAACCAAAAGATAAAGAAAATTTCTATCATTGGTTTCACCGGTTGTGAGCTAGCCGGTAAATATTTCATCCATTTCTCAGGATGGCTAGCGTCCTACCTTTAACGTTTTCTAAAGGCAAACTGCTGGTCAGCTATTCAAAGAGCTGCTGGGTGTTATATTAGCGCAGTTTTTTTACAACTCGGGAATTGTTCTAACATCTTATGAGCTTAGTAGCCGAGAAATGATACCAGAATATTGATAGTAATCAGAGTTTTTTATTACTTCGTTTAGCAACCGTACATTGGGGTGCTGTCTCACGACAAGTACAGTGGAGACAGTGTCACGAGAATTCCTCGTTATTTACGTTTTCACCAGTAACAAAATTTATTCACTACGGTAGTCGATGTCTGAAAATTGAACGCACAGAAGATACGTACATATGGCCTGTTTATTCGCATACGATATCTTACAGAAGAATGACTACAACGTGTAACGAAAATCTGGCTGCTAAACTTGTTTTTAACACAAAAGAAGGAAAAATCAGATTATTATGGACAAATGAACAAGAATGGTGTTTATTAATATCCGGGGGAATTCTTACTGGCAAACCGAGCCGCACGGAACACGATTTAATAGCAGCACATGAACCTGTCTATTATCCAATAGTTTTCGAAACGCAGATGGTGAAATGATTTTCTAAGACTTTGTGCATCTCCTTGCACTGAAACTGATTCAATTAGAGTGCAACTAACGTTCCATGAGGAGAATGATCCTGTCATCAGAAGAAATATGTTAGTTTGACTAAATTCTTTACATTTTATTCAACTGCATTGTTTTCTTTTAACACTCAGTTCATATTATTGCATTTAGAATTTTGTTTCACCTTTAAAAATATAATTAGATTTAGTTATGGTGTTTCACAAGAAGAGGATGAGCGAAGTCGATTTCATTTATTCTCAGTTTATAACTCGACTTTCTTTTAACAAGTTTCTCTCATTTTGTGTAGATTCATACGACGACTTTTCTCCTGTAGACACATGAAGCCATGTTCTAGAAACAATGTCCACTTTTCAAGGCAAAAACGGAATGAAAATGGGTTATTATGCCTCTAGGAACAATTGTGAAATGAAAAAGAATGAGAATCAATTTTTTCCAATTCGTCATCTGATGAGTCATCCTTGTGCTTATATAGAAGGACAATGGTAAAAATTATTTTGGACCCGATACCGATGAGCTCTAGGCGGAACTAGAACCGTACTTATGGAGTTCTAAATAAATTTTTCTACTTCAAATCTGTTAGTTGCTCCGAAAATGTCGCTGTAGAATCAGATAATTTATTGTTCGATTTATAGATTTATTATGATTCAGATACTATGATCAGAAAATTTTGTTGCTTTTTCCTATTATTTTTATAAATAAATTAAAGACTTTTTTTCTGGACCCGGATCCGTTCGATAATATATTTGAAAAACATTTTTGTAAAATCATTTTACATAAAGCCTGCTGATGATACTGTGTATCGAAAGCTCGCTTTTTATGCAAAATCATTTTACAAAAATGTTTTTCGATTATATTAAATATACTCAGTTCGGACAGAAGTGAACTGTTGCTGAGACATCTCAGAACCGGATTTTCTTGATATTTAGAAATTTGAAAACGCATGGAAACATAGGTTATCGACCACGCTGAGTGTCATGGTAGCGTTTATTTTCCGAAGTTCAAAAACCTAGTGAAAATCTGTATTAGGTGAAATAATCGATTTCTGGCAATTTTCGAGTAAAATTAGGAATACTCCGTCAAACGCGATCCAGTTTGCCTCAGAATAACAAGATACACTCGATTTTATCTACTGAACGAGATAGAAAAACGCTGTTCGGTACTTTTCTGGCATATATACAAAAAGGCGGCGAATTTTGAGACGCTCCCACTTCCATGACATAAAAAGAAAGCTCAAGAAGAGAGAACTTAAACGCCAGATTTTTATTATTAAAAATATTAACAGCATAATCACAGTGATACCGTCTGAAAGTTAACATCATAAAAAAAGGAGTAATATCTTATTTTACTACCAATAGACTACGTCGATTAACGTTCTTCGTTTCTTTACTCCATATCCATTTTTCTTCTTCTTCTTTACCTCATATTCGAACCAATTTTCAAATGACTAATTACATCTTCCAGTCGACTAGTAGCTTCGATGAATTCTTGGTCTGTTTGTCTTTGAAATGTAGAAACGAAAGTTTTGATTCTCGGAATCGTCGTTTCAAAGCAAAATATTCGTCTGAGAGTCGCATTAAAATAACACACGCCCTAATCAGAGACATCAATGTAGTCAATTTAAATGCAGACTGTCGTAAAGTATGCTTTTCGTATTCTAATGTTGAATAATTGTAGAAAAATCTTTAAAATGTTGTTCCTTTAAATCTGTACATTTANAAATAACACACGCCCTAAGGGAACATCTGCATATTGCGTGGGGAGAATTTTCCCGCTCAGATTATGGTACGGCGTTTTGATTACATAATACGTAAACGTTCCCTAATCAGAGACATCAATGTAGTCAATTTAAATGCAGACTGTCGTAAAGTATGCTTTTCGTATTCTAATGTTGAATAATTGTAGAAAAATCTTTAAAATGTTGTTCCTTTAAATCTGTACATTTATGTTGATAATTTGATTGATATTTTGTTTTACAGAGCTCCTCTTCTTCTAAGCATATGAAACAGAACGAATAGAGACACGTTACACATGTATGGTATTTGCATTTTTCATCGTATGCACCAGGCATATAACACCGTGGACAACACCGGCGATTCGGTATTAAGACGTGGGGATTCGATTTCAGTGGGACGAGCTCATAACTTTTCTTTACTTCATAATCACAGTTACTATGACATGTATACTGGTCATTTTTCATCTGGTCATCATTCCAATCCTTATTACAGAAGAAACAGAAGTGACGATGACACTGTGCGCACTGCTGTTGTGCTTGAAGGGTTTCGTTTACCATTAACGTACCACAGCGACAAATCTGACAGTCAATATGTTTCATCAAATCACGTATTTCGTCTAGTGATTCCAAGGATTTAATGAATTCTGCTGTTTTGAAAATTTGTTCGTACGGAATTTGTCGTTTGCACACCATACATCTCAATTTTAGATTACAAGAATCAAAGTACATACAAAAACATTCTTTACATACACGATTGCAACAGAGTTTCAAGCACACAGGTTCTTCTTTGCATACAGCACAGGGACTCTCATTATCCATTGATGTTTCTAGTTTATGAAGTTCCTGTTCCATTTCCCCTAGGATTATAGCAATTAACATTGACATTTCAACAAACCCACCTCCGATCATGCGCTCGAGAACATAAACAGTTGTACCGTTTTTTAATAAAAACCTTTTTTGTTTCTCGAAATTTTCATCATCGCACAAGTCTAACTGTTTGCCATTGACAATAAAACGATGTGCATCGGTGTTTGCTATGAAATGAGACACAATATCAATAAATTCTTCACGCTGAATATCTTCATTAATTTGTTTAACAATAGTTTTACCAGCCAGTAAAGTAAATGTTAAGTTTAAAACCATTTTTAGTCCGTATTTATAGATCTAAAAGTGTGACAAAAATAGAAAAATCTGTTCAATATCTCTGTATGTTTAGCAAAACAGCTGCTGATGAGACTAATAACGTTAAGTAACTGTTTTCAACACGGTATCCGTCTAGGCATGCACCAATACCAGTCATTGTGGAAGATATTGTAGAATATTATTGTATACCCAATATATTGGGACCAATAATATTGGGTTTCACAATACACTGGATTTCAACTTTTTAACCTTAATATCGTTTACATTCATGAAAACGTGAGCAAACATATCCCAATTGGAATATAAAAATGTATCCCGACCGGGATTAGGCATGCATCGATTAATAATCAATGTTAGAGCATTCAGCAAAGTCGTTCTGAATCAGTTATAAAAAAGCACTTAGAGCTGCCGAATGTCTCATTTTGTAGAAAATGTTTGCTCTACCAAACTGAAGTGCAAAAAGAATTTAGTGTGATCTGTAACAGAAATATAAGCATCCAAAACTGAGCAAAATTAACCAACTATCGATTATTTTTCTGCGAATTTAGTGCGTTTTCGATTTATCATAGGTTCTCTATACTTATAACATAAAATTTGTTTAGCACTTCGGTTTGGTAGAGCAAACTAGAGATGTGCACTGGTACCATTTTCGTACCCGTACCCGACCCGAAAATTTTTTTCCTACCCGTACCCGACCCGTAATCGACTTATACCTAAAAATTTTCTCCTTTTTGTTTTCCAGCTAAAAACTTTTGTTTTTCGGCTGAAGATGTCAAATTACCATTACGTTCTCAAGTAATTCTTTTTTAAACCTTCATGTATGTCAGCTAAATTCCTGCAGTTTTTCACTAAAATTTTCTGGGTTTTCCACTAGAACCTACCGGTTTCGGGTAAATTAAAAAAAAATAGAACCCGTACCCGTAACTGCTCTACCCGTACCCGACAACTTCGTACCCATACCGAACCTTCGGGCCGGGTTGCACATCTCTAGAGCAAACATTTTCCACAAAATGAGACATTCGGCAGCTCTAAGTGTTTTTTTATAACTGATTCCGAACGACTTTGCTGAATGCCCTAATATCGATTATTAATCGGTGCATGCCTAATTGGGTTATATTTTGATTCAAAACGAGATATAGAGCATACGTCTGTCCGTAAAAGTAGGCTGAACTCACGCGACCCAATACCCAATAATATTGTGAAAATCCAATATACTGGGGTGACCAGTATTATTGGGTATACAATAATATTGGTACCCAATATTTTGTACTGGTGCATGCCTATACCCGTCTAAGATCTAGGCGTCGTTTACACTGACAGATCCTATTCTGAGAAGCACAGGAAAACATTCTAGAAATAAGATATACAAAATAAAAGGATGTCGGGGCACGACAGAAGCTTACCTGAAAGGAAAGAACAAATTAAACAGATAATAACTTTGCTAGTGTTTTTTACCTTGGATCAATGCGAATAAAAGAAAATCTATAGCTTCACGGTGCATTAAACCTTCTCAAAATTTTTATTAACGATTTCACGGCTTCCGACGTAGTTTTATTGTTTATGATATTATTTTAGGAAACATTGAGTAATGTTGCGTTTCAATACTGGTACATTGACTATAACAATCTGACTTGAAAATACTTTCACACTGATCTTTTGTAAGCAGACATATAAAACAGAATTCATGACTGCAATTTGGACAGCAATGATATTTACATCGATTATCAAAAGCACCGATTCTAAAACACTTTGGACAGCAACGACGATTTGGTATTAGAACATTTGGATTATTAACAAGTGGAACAAGTTCATACGCTAATTTTCGTTCATAAGTGCAGTCAACATCTTCACATGTATATTGCACATCATTCATTTTTGCAGCGTCCCAATTACGATTACAAAAGAAGCATAGCCAACGGGTACAATTTGAGCATTGCTGTTTGGAATACAGTGTCATATTGAACAGTAAAGCCCCGCAATAACAGATTTGGCAATCTATATTCTTAATCATATCTTCCACGTCACAAAGTATTGACCATTTATCAATAAACTCTGGTGTCTTAAAAAATGTTTTGTATTCAACAACCGTATTACAAATACGTTTTTCATCCGCAGGATTTCTACTTTCTTTTAAACATTTCAGTTGCATATCAGTCTGTTCCAGATAATTGTTAAAGCAATCAGCACAAACATGTGTGCAGTGAATAATACTACACTGCTCCTGGCACATACAAAACATGCAGACAGCAGTTACTTTAGTTAATTTTGGCAGTTCTGTTTTTAAATCTTCTAATACAATTTCTTTTAATAATGTTTTTTCAATCAAGGTACCATTATAGGTGCGGTCAAGTAATGTAACTTTAACGCCGTTGTACAAAAGACGTTTCTGTGTGTTAAATATATTTTCGTTATCCAAACACAATTGTGTATCATCGATTAACAGACGATATTTACCTAAATCACCTAGTACTGGTACTGAATTACGAAAATGGTCTAATGTAAATGAATGTATCAGGCTAGCTGTATAGGTTGTGCCATCAGTTAATTCTTCGAAGACAACTATAGAATATGAAACAAAATCCAGATATTTACTGAAGCGACCAGACCTGAAATGAAGAAAAAAAATTCGATTTTTACCCGGCAAATGACTTCTGTAACCTCAACGATTGCAACCCATAATTGGTTTTTTGTAAACAAGTAGCAGAAAAAAATTAAAGCTTTTCTTAGAAAGTCTTAGAATAATCGCTACTGATGTATGTTTTTATTGTTCTCAAGTTTTCCGAAAAAACATGTTTCATTAGATAAAATATATTTTAAGCGCTATAATAATCATCATTAAATACTGAGATTTAAAGTACGGGCTATGTTAGGTAATGACGGATAGTTTTTTCACTGATTGTGGTAGTGTTTATGAGCCAACAATTCTTGGAAACATTGTATAATGCTGACATTTAACATCTTTACATTTTTTCATATAATCAAGTGGATCTTTACTGCACTGATCTTCTGTTTCCAAACAGATAAAACAGAAACGATGTTTACAAACACTACACTGATGATATTTACATTTTGCGTCGTAGCCACCGAGTGTAAAACATTTTGGACAGCAACGACGACTTGGAACGCGTAACTGAGAATTCACAACCAGCGGAACAAGATCATATCCTAATTTTGTTTCATAGACACAATGATTATGACATGTATACTGATCATTTTTCATTTCTTCCTCTTTCCAATCTTTATTGCAGAAGAAACAGAACCAACGTTTACACTGTTCACATTTCTGTTTTGAATACATTGTTTCGTTAACCATCAGTACACCGCAATGACATATTTGACAATCAATATGTTTCATTAAATCACGTACTTCATCCAGTGCATACAATGATCGTATAAAATCTTCTGTTTTAAAGAATTGTTCATACGGTAGAAATTCTCTTGTACTGTTACGACAGACCATACATTTTATATCAGTATTCTGTATTCTACTTTCTTGCTATAATCTACTGTTTCATACGTGAATAAAATAATTTTCGTATTCAGCCATTAGGCAAACGAAAAGCAAAAGGGTGTCCCAAGAGAGTTAGCACAGCTTTAAATTTTTTAAATAGATGTAAATAAAACTGTAAAGGATATTGTTCGTTTGGTTAAAATCTCAATGAATATGTTTGTGTTGTACATTACACTTTGTTGAGAAATAAAAATGTGAAATGCATGGTGAAACATTTGGTGATCAAAAGTATCTTTATTTGGTGATCAAAAGTACATTTGCTCTTTAATAAATTGAAACAGTTTTAGTGAATAAAGTATTAATTGACATAATCCTAATGTGCGCACTTTTGACATTATGGGTAATCTATTATTAATTATATATAAAATAGAAATAAATGTATCTCTATGAGAACATTTTTATACATTTTGTTTAATTTGATGAAAACTGGCTTCGTTCAGGTTTTTAGCTTCCAGTGATTTAAAAGTGTACTCTTTCATGATAGATAGTATCGGAAAAGTTCCATCTCTAATAGCTATTTCTAAAACTTCTTATGTATTATCCGGAACATTATTTATCAGAAAAAAAGATGTCCCTAGTGAATGTACTTGAGATCAAGTACTTACCCCAGAGATAAAATCTTAAAAAAATCTTATGATATTTCTTAATAAGGTAGACGATAGAAATGCGTAAAATATTGATAAGAATCTTTTAGAAAGGATATAGTATAATTTCATGATATTCTTTACTGATCAGTATCCTATATTCTGCTTTAATGCTATAATCTACTGTTTCATACGTGAATAAAATAATTTTCTTTCCATTAATATAATTTTTCCATAATAAGATCTTAGTCCCACGTGGATAGTCTCATGACTCGTCGTCATTGTCTACTACTTGTAGACCGGATTTACTTTCCCAAATCTATCATGACTTTAGGAAGAAAATGAAATTCGAAAAATAAAAATATGTGTGAAGAGAACGCAGGACAGGAGATGTTAGTCGTTTGCATAAATTCCGCTTTTGCAAACCGATCTCTAGATAAATGCACTACTTGAGATCCTTTTTTTCTATAAAGGTCGAATTTAAATAGAAGTCGTAGAAAATAGAGCAGCTCAAATACTACTAATATGCGTCAAAACTCTTTTCATACTTGTCTAAATAAAGTAATAGAAACAACCATAAAAGAGCTTCATGTACAGTTACTAACATGACTCATCATTCAATAACCAGTGGTCAAAGAAAAGAATTTCTCGATTGATCAGAACAGAAAATGTGTCTTCGAAAAACATATTAATGAGTTGTTTCTAGCAAAATATAAATCTCTCTCAATATAATTCTGACAAAATTCTAGGAATTCTAAAGACGAATTCATAGCATTTGATAGGCTCCTACATGATTTCCTGTATTTCGTAGGATCCTGTATGATGCAGAGTTAAGCATTTAGTTTGCATATAGTACACAGCGCATTGTCTATTTAAAACAAGAATGCTCTCCACTTTTGCTAAATTTGAGTATACATTTCGAGGATCCGAACGATACTCATATACTGAATAAAAAACATCAATAATAATTGCAGTTTATCATTGTGCACTGACAGGCGCAAAAAAATCTTTATTTCAGACCATAAAAACAAAAGTGTGGAGCGAGATTTTTGGCTGTGACTGTAATATGTCATTTGCAACAACAAAAATTGAAAAAATTCTTTCGGTACTGTACTGCATTTACATCTAAATTTTTCCCAAAGATCGCCATATATCTATCTACATCATTTTCTGATGTGGTCTCTACTCTATGCTACATCGGATATCTCTGAGTGAACAGCCTTCGACTAAGATGATCCTTGAACTAATCAGAACATATTCTGGGGCCAGTTTCATCAAAAAACTTAAGTTTGACTTAAGTGAAAAACTAAGAAAAAGTTAGGAGACACTTAAGTCAAAGTTAAGTTTTGTCCTAAGTGTGTTTCAGTAAGCTTAACAACTTAAGTATGACTTAACACTTAAGCAAATATCTGACTTAAGTTGAATTATGGCCAAGTTGAACCAATCAAAAAACAAAATCGTTTTGGAGGAGGAGTTTTTTCAATCATGGCACACAGGTTCATCCATAGAAACTCATACTTCTATAAGTTTAAGCAATTTGAGCATAATGTTCGAAGTTTTGTACACTATTTTCAAGAACGAGCGCACCAAGCGAGAGTAAAGTGTATATGCATTATGTATTTTA